GAATTGCCGCCGTCGCGGCAGCAGCACACCACAAGGGAGGAGGAGGAGGAGGAGGAGGAAGAACAGCAGCAGCAGGTGGTCGGGGGGGAGGAGAAGGAGGGAGAGGACGAAGACGACCGCGAGGAGGAGGACCAGGGGGAGCCGGAGCCGGTGCCGGAGACGCGGGAGGGGGCAGGACGTGGAGACGAGCCGGCAACACGGGGTCGGAGACGAAACCGCATTCAGCGGGAGGACCAGCCCTTCCTGGACACCCAGCGGGCTGGTTTTCTGATGTTGGAGAGGGAGCTGGGGTCGATGGGGACGCGGCTTGGGTCGCTGGAGGCCCAGGTGAAGGCTCTCCAGGAGGTCCTCCAGGCCAGCCTGCTCCCCTTAGCCGCTGGCGTTGCGACACTGCAGCGGCTGGTCCAGGTAGCCGAAAGGCTGCTGCCACCAGCAGAATCATCCGCCCCCGCCTGTCCCAGGTGGCCGCTGAGGCCGCGCACAAGAGGGGGGCAGCCCCCTGGGTTGACTGACCGACTGCAGCGTCCAGACCCAAGAGGAGGAGGAGGAGGAGGAGGAGGAGGAAGAAGAAGAAGAAGGGGGGTTGGGAGGGGAGAAACACAATAAAAACACTTGTTAATGCAATCATGTGTGACTATTTATTGGATGTTTTAATGTGGATAATTACAAAAAGTGTATAAATGAATGAAAGCAAATACTCACACTTAAGGGCAGAGCTGTGCTGCGAGGCAGTCCCTCCTCACCTGCGCGCTCTGCTGCTCTCCCTGCTGACATGGCACATGCAATTCGGTCTCTCTCTGTCTAAAGTCCAGTAATGTGTCCTCGGCGAGGTCGTAGTGGCATCCATGGCGTATAGCTATGTTGTGTAAAACACAACATGCCACAAAGAATGCACCGACACTCTGCGGGCTGTATGTTAATGAACCACCTGACCGGTCCAGACATCTGAAACGCATTTTGAGGATTCCAAAAGTACGTTCAATGACTGACCTAGCACTGCTGAAGACACTGTTAAAAACACGTTGCTGTCTTGTTGAAGGTGTAATGTATGGCGTCATCAACCACGTTTTCAGTGGATAGCCGTTATCACCTAGCAGCCACCCATCCAGAGGGGTGTCCCCCTGAAAGACTGTAGGGATGATAGAATTCGCCAGGATGAATGAATCATGTGCAGACCCGGGGTAATTAGCGTACACGTTTGTCACCAGGCAATTTGAGTCACAAATCACCTGGATATTAATGGAGTGGACTCCCTTACGATTCACATAAATGAGGGCTTGGGTCTCTGGTGCGCGCAACTGCACATGTGTGCAGTCAATTGCTCCAAGGACCCCAGGGAATCCATATTTCAACAAGAACCCTCGCTTCGTTTCCAGCTGGCTTGCAGGTGATGATGGGAAAATGATGTGCTCATTTGCGTGTCGGACTAGACTGGTGGACACTGCATGTATGGCCAAACTGACAGCGGCCTGACTTATCCCTACCACCGAAGCCACGGTATGCTGGAAAGACCCGGTGGCGAAGAAAGTCAGAGCCGCTGTCACCCTCACAGCAACTGGGAGAGCGCATGGGCCACCGGGGTCCGCATCTGAGGCCACAATCCGTGTGATCGCGTGGACCACCTCACGAGGCAGGTGTAATTTGGTCCTGTGTCAAGGAAAATAGTAGATTGTTAAAAGGCAGTTGTATTGAACACGGTGTTGGAGGCGTTATCCATGTGGCCCACCTGCATTCCTGCTCTGTTAAGGTTAAATATGATGCCCTGTGATGAATCACCCTCTCTCTGTAATTTCTCCTCCTCCTCCTCCACCTCCTTGCAATTATGTACTCCATCTTTGTAGATAATGTTAAGCATGGAAATTATTAAATTTGTAGCTGTGAGATCACATGCTGCATGTAAATCTTGAGAACAACGGTCATAACTTACTTTGCTTCAGTGTGCGTTGATTCTTTTCTCAGTGTTCTGAGATGACATGCCAAATATATACTCTCTCTGTGATGACGAAGCTGTTTGTGGTTGGTAGAGAGACGTGAAGTAGTTAGTTTGCATCAGAGTTTCAGCTGTGTTAGTCGGTCAGGTGGAGTGGCAATTAGGCGTGCCAAACGCGCTCCTATAGATATACATCAAAATGTACTTTAGATCTAAATGTATGTGCTGCATATATTTAAATCCCATATGACAAAGATGAGTTGTGCGCACAGATCACACCATAAATTCCAAAAATGGCATTAAAATTGGAACCATCTGTGCGTAAATGACGCATCGCGCTCCGTGGCCTGGCTCTTTCTTTCATAGATGTTGGCATATAAAATAAATTTGGCTCACAAAACTGAATATTATAATATCCGTATGTCGGCTTAAAGTAGATCACGCATCTGAGCACTGAAACAAATCATCTGTTCAGTCGCAGCAGCAGCAAGACGGACAGAGGACACGGAGACGTGTCCAGGTCGAGCTGCGCGAGAAATAAGAGGAAGAGGAAGAAAGAAAAGGAGGGAGACGAATTACATATCTTGTTAACTTCATCATGTGTGTTTATTTACTAGATATTTAATTTAATTTGATGCGGTTTCAGCTGTGTTGATTCGGTCAGGTTGTGTGTCCAAACGCGTGCCAAACGCGCTCATCAGATCAGATATAGATCAGAATATATCTATATAGATCTAAATATATGTGCTGACTCAGATTAATAGTTGATGATGATTACTTATTGCACTGAAATGTGCCTGACACTGTGGAAACCTGCCGGTGAGGCATCAGTGACGTATGTCGATACGCCGCCGGTCTACCAAAATACTACAAGACCAGCTGCGTTCCGCCTTGCGCTGAAAGCTGACCAGGTTTGAATCGGCGAGCTTTCAGCGCACTTTACACGCCGTTGGCGAGCACGAAAATGTCACTGCGCCAGCTGATTCTGTCAACACCTCCCCCTGCCACACCACCACGCCCAGCTTGGCGGATCTCGGCTCGCCTCCGTGCGGCTCATGCCACGAAAATACCAAATTGGCCTTACGCTGGGCTCCGCCAGACGAAAATACAACTGCGCGGGGCTCGCCGCCCTCCGCCGCCTCACCGGCGCGAACGAAAATAGAGCCCTAAGTGTTTTAGGAAAGGATGTTGGTATCAACAAAAGTTCTATCACAAGAGCAGAGTAGAATAGAGTGAAAACTGTATTCATCATTCTATACAGACAAAAACAAACAAACAAACAAACAAAAACGGGTTTACAACACATAATGTGCAGAACATGACATTCCCATTCCCATTCATGACGTTCCTAATCATTTAACGGAACATCATAAGAGAGTAAAATTCATTTTTGAGTGTGAAAAGAGCATTTTCTAAGGGATCAAACTGCCACTTAATACTTACTTGACAATGTAAAACATGATCAAAATGATTCAAGCAGTTTCCCTGCAACAGTCTGTCATTGTGATTGCACGAGACTAGATTTAAAGTTACGCATTGACGCGAGCAGCGATTTCCTCCCATGCCCTCTCCCTCTCCTCTGCAGCTGCTGTTGTATTGCACTTTCTTTTAAAAACGTGCTGTAATTCGCTGTTGGCTTGCTGCTGCCCCCTCCTTCTCCCTGTTTCCATTGGTTGATCATTGAATCTGGGCTCCACAGATGCTGGCTGTTTATGTCTGGCGTGCACGTGCTTAACTCCAGGTCAAACTACTCGGAGTTGTTAAATCCGTCTCAAATCAGGTGTTGTGAAACCGGAAACTCCGAGTTTCCTAACTCAGAGTAGATCAACTCAGAGTTAAGGATTTAACTCAGAGTTTGTTGAACCACCTACGTGAAACGGACCCACTGTCGCTCCTCCACCTCCGCCACCAGCACCTCCACCTCGCACGCCGTAAATTTAGTTTTTCTTGTCATTTTGTCTGCGTGCGAGGACAGGGAGACCCTATTTAAATAAATCTGCATATTTATAGGAGGGCATAACGGGGGCGGGCCCGGTCACTCCAACATCTGGCTCAATTCCAAGCTGATTGGGATTTATCAAGGAAACACACGTGGCTTTCGGCGCCCGCACACCTTGATACATACGGATTTTTTTCAGCGTGAGGGACCTTGCGTGCGCTCCTTTCTGGTATGAGTCCCACGCAAGTGTTGATACATGAGGCCCCAGATGAGGCAAAAAATAAAGGTAAACATCTACTCATACCTAGAGTATGTGAATTTCGTAAACTTTTTGTATATCTATCCATCTATCTATCTTTCTATATCTATAACGATATATAGATAGATATATATAGTTATATGCTTTTTCTTTTTTGTTTTCCTTCTTACCTTAGGGGCTTTTAAACCAAAGGGGGGATCACTGTGATAGCTCCGTATCCCCTAAGCCACATTTCTCTCTCTCTTCTTTGCAGGCCGAGCGAAATGGATCTCTCGTCGAAAATATGGGGATGGTGACACTTCTTGCTTTTTGGCTCAATTATCCCCCTCACTCTCTGCGACCACTGAATTGTGCAGTCGTTTTTGTCCTTCTCTGTTTCGTGAATTGTAAATTTGCGCTGCTCTTACGCTGAGTTGCATTCAATCATTCGTTAGCTCACCTTCCTGACTGAACGATTCGCTTCGATTGGACTTAGCTGTTTTTGATTGTTTATTCGTAAGAGCATAGCAAATACATGACACAGACACAAGTCTTTAAATCCACACACACACGCCCTCCACCTGTGATGCACAAAAAGTGCGGCGGAGGGTCGAGGACGCCGGGATTGCTAAAGACTGCGTCTACCGCCGTCTGAGTTTCTAAAAAAACAGCCACTGTTGAGCAACGATGGCAGCGCCTGCGCTCACGAGACAAAAAAAAAAAAGTCAACTCGCCCTCAGCTCTCTCTGCTTGTCAAAATGGTTATCTAAAAACTCACCCCTGCTACGCTGTCGTGAAAACGTTTGACTGAAAACCTTTGCTGTGTTCCTCTGTTGCACAGACTCTTTTCGCAGTACGGGGCACTGGATCCGCAGGAGCGAAGAAAGAGGAAAAAAACAAATAAAGTTGAAGTCTTGACACACATCTACAAAAAGGATCGTAGAGGAGAGAGTAGAGTAAGTAGTCTATCTATCTATCTATCTATCTATCTATCTATCTATCTATCTATCTATATATATATATATATAACGATATATAGATAGATAGATAGTTATATGCTTTTTCTTTTTTGTTTTCCTTCTTTACCCTCGGGCTTTTAAACCAAAGGGGGGATCACTGTGATAGCTCCATATCCCCTAAGCCACATTTCTCTCTCTCTCTTCTTTGCAGGCCGAGCGAAATGGATGTCTCTCTCCACGACCACTGAATTGTGCAGTCGTTTTGGTCCTTCTCTGTTTCGTGAATTGTAAATTTGCTCTGCTCTTACGCTGAGTTGCATTCAATCATTCGTTAGCTCACCTTCCTGACTGAACGATTCGCTTCGATTGGACTTAGCTGTTTTTGATTGTTTATTCGTAAGAGCATAGCAAATACATGACACAGAAACGAGTCTTTGAATCCACACACACACGCCCTCCACCTGTGATGCACAAAAAGCGCGGCGGAGGGTCGAGGACGTCGGGATTGCTAAAGACTGCGTCTACCGCCGTCTGAGTTTCTAAAAAAACAGCCACTGTTGAGCAACGATGGCAGCGCCTGCGCTCACGAGACAAAAAAAAAGGTCAACTCGCCCTCAGCTCTCTCTGCTTGTCAAAATGGCTATCTAAAAACTCACCATCGCTACGCTGTCGTGAAAACGTTTGACTGAAAACCTCCGCTGTATTCCTCTGTTGCACAGACTCTTTTCGCAGCGAAGAGCGAAGAAGGAGGAAATTCGTCTGTGAATCAACGGAGAGGAGAAAAAGCGCTCTCCTGATCTGGCTAGCCTCTGCGGCTACAGCCGAAGACGATCTCGACGAGGGAGAAAAAAGAGCGGACTGCGGCTGAGTGAGGAAGACGAGGAAAACACACGATCTCGACAAGGGCAAAAAGGTGCGCGACTGCGCCTGAGCGCGTAGCGCGCGGATGGAAACGCAGGGTCGAGGATTCGTCTGCGAATCAACGGAGAGGAGCAACAAAGAGCGCTCTCTCCCGGAGAGCGTCCGGCCTCTGCGCGACTGCGCCAGGATCAAGGATTCGTCTGAGGAAGGACGGACGACAGGGGTGAGTATAAAAGAAAACCAAAAACACAGGACAGAGGATTCACAAGGAGAGGAGCAACAAAAAGCACTCTCTCCCGGAGAGCATCCGGCCTCTGCGCCTGAGCGCGTAGCAGGCAGATGGAAATGCATGATCGAGGATTCGTCTGAGGAAGGACGGACGACAGGGGTGAATATGAAAGAAAACCAAAAACGCAGAACGGAGGATTCACAAGGAGAGGAGCAACAAAAAGCGCTCTCTCCCGGAGAGCATCCGGCCTCTGCGCGACTGCGCCTGAGTGCATGGCGCGCGGATGGAAATGCAGGGTCGAGGATTCGTCTGCGAATCAATGGAGAGGAGCAACAAATAGCGCTCTCCCGGAGAGTGTCCGGCCTCTGCGCGACTGCGCCTGAGCGCGTAGTGCGCGGATGGAAATGCAGGATCGAAGATTCGTCTGAGGAAGGACGGAAGACAGGGGTGAATATGAAAGAAAACCAAAAACGCAGGACGGAGGATTCACAAGGAGAGGAGCAACAAAAAGTGCTCTCTCCCGGAGAGCGTCCGGGTCTGCGCGACTGCGCCTGAGCGCGACTGCGCCTGCGCGCGTAGCGCGCGGATGGAAACGCAGGATCGAGGATTCGTCTGAGGAAGGATGGACGACAGGGGTGAGTTTGAAAGAAAACCAAAAATGCAGGACGGAGGATTCACAAGGAGAGGAGCAACACAAAGCGCTCTCTCCCGGAGAGCGTCCGGCGACTGCGCCTGAGCGCGTATCGCGCGGATGGAAACGCAGGATCGAGGATTCGTCTGAGGAAGGACAGACAACAGGGGTGAGTTTGAAAGAAAACCAAAAACGCAGGACGGAGGATTCACAAGGAGAGGAGCAACAAAAAGCGCTCTCTCCCGGAGAGCATCCGGCCTCTGCGCGACTGCGCCTGAGTGCATGGCGCGCGGATGGAAATGCAGGGTCGAGGATTCGTCTGCGAATCAATGGAGAGGAGCAACAAATAGCGCTCTCCCGGAGAGTGTCCGGCCTCTGCGCGACTGCGCCTGAGCGCGTAGTGCGCGGATGGAAATGCAGGATCGAAGATTCGTCTGAGGAAGGACGGAAGACAGGGGTGAATATGAAAGAAAACCAAAAACGCAGGACGGAGGATTCACAAGGAGAGGAGCAACAAAAAGTGCTCTCTCCCGGAGAGCGTCCGGGTCTGCGCGACTGCGCCTGAGCGCGACTGCGCCTGCGCGCGTAGCGCGCGGATGGAAACGCAGGATCGAGGATTCGTCTGAGGAAGGATGGACGACAGGGGTGAGTTTGAAAGAAAACCAAAAATGCAGGACGGAGGATTCACAAGGAGAGGAGCAACACAAAGCGCTCTCTCCCGGAGAGCGTCCGGCGACTGCGCCTGAGCGCGTATCGCGCGGATGGAAACGCAGGATCGAGGATTCGTCTGAGGAAGGACAGACAACAGGGGTGAGTTTGAAAGAAAACCAAAAACGCAGGACGGAGGATTCACAAGGAGAGGAGCAACAAAAAGCGCTCTCTCCAGAGAGAGGCCGGCCTCTGCGGCTAAAGCCGAAGACGATCTCGACAAGGGAAAAAAGGCGCGCGACCGCGCCTGAGCGCATAGCACGCAGATGGAAACGCAGGGTCAAGTATTCGTCTGCGAATCAACGGAGAGGAGCAACAAAAAGCGCTCTCCCGGAGAGCGTCCGGCCTTTGCAGCTACAGTCGAAGACGATCTCGAGGAGGGGAAAACGCCGAAGGTGAGTTTGAAAAACCAGAAACACAGGATGGAGGATTCTTCTGAGAATCAACAGGGAAAGGAAAACAAAAACGCTCTCCTGAGCCGGCCAGCCTTTGCGGCTACAGCCGAAGATGATCTCGACGAGGGAAAAAACACTGAAGGTGAGTATAAAAACCAAAAAACACAGGATGGAGGATTCACAAGGAGACCTTTTTACCCCACCATAGGGAGTGAAACGACTCTATCACTCTGTCAGTTGTAAAACACCAAAGTTTGAATTTTATAATTGGCAGAGGTTGGAGAGTGTTGGAGTTGTCATGTCATCTATAAGCCAACGTGTCTGTTCCACTAAACCAGTTGCGTTTTATTTTGCACAGTTCAGTCAGGAAGGTGAGCGGCTGGTTCGGCGATAGAGAAGAACGAATTCGTGGTTCTGAGATGACGTGTCCCCACTCCTCATATTTAGCCTCTGACACAAAGACGTCACAAAATGTGGACTCGACATCACTGACTGTGCTGACTCTGTGTGTGTGTGTGTGTGTGTGTGTGTGTGTGTGTGTGTGTGTGTGTGTGTGTGTGTGTGTGTGTGTGTGTGTGTGTGTGTGTGTGTGTGTGTGTTCCACACTGCCTGTGTAAGTTTTTCTTTTTGGTTTTACAGTGCCCTCTGCATGACTGGCCAAACTGTGAGGGAAGAAGAGAGAAAGACACACAAAGGTTCTCCAGATTTTTTTTTTTTGTATGTTTTATTTTTCAATTCTAAGAGCAGAAAATATTGTAAAGATCTCTGAACACCAAAAGAAATAAAGTGTTTGTACATAAAAAGTGCTTTACAAATAAAAAATAAATTTAAAAAAACTACGCCTTGCTTCATCACACAACTTTTTTTTTCCTTTTTTCCTTTCCTTACTGCAGTGTCCAAGGCTTGGTGAGGTTTAGGGAAGAGGACAACGCCTGGGCTCCAGAGGCACGAGTCGGCACTCCATATGAAGTCAAAAAAGTCTCTATCACTCTGTCAGTTGTAAAACACCGAGGTGCAGTTGTATAGTCAGCAGAGGTTGGGGGGAGAGCGTCGGACTTGTCATGTCATCTCTAAGCCAACGTGTCTGTTCTTCTCTTCCACTAAACCAGTTGCGTTTTACTTTGCACAGTTAAGTCAGGAGGGTGAGCGGCTGGTTCGGCGATAGAGAAGAACGAATTCATGGTTCTGAGATGACGTTTCCCCACTCCTCATATTTAGCCTCTGACACAAAGACATCACAAAATGTGGACTCGATATCACTGACTGTACTAGCTCCTGTATGATTATGTGTTTCAATCTTTCTGTGTTAAGGTTTATATATATATATATATATATATATATATATATGTGTGTGTGTGTGTGTGTGTGTGTGTGTGTGTGTGTATGAATATATGATCCTGTAAGGGATGATGAAAGAAATAAAGAGACCAAACTGTTTGCAATATTTCATATTACTTTTCCTCTGTTGATGTGTGGGTTCAAGGGCGGAAAATATTGTTAGGATGCTGTCTGAACACCAATGAGACTATATGTTTTGTAAAAGAATAAAGTGCTATACAAAAAAGATTTTAAAAAAAAAACTATGTTTACTGCAATTCCCAATTGCCAAAAGAAAAGTGCAGTGATCTGAATAGATCAAGTTTATAGCAAGTTGAGTCACATCTCCGTAAAACCGCACTACACCTGCATAAAACTTGTACTACTACCAATCCTTGTCCTAATACAGCATTACAACAATAACTACTTAAACAACAACAACAACGAAAAAATAAAACAATACTGCACTGCAGCCATGAGTCGAGAGTTTACCGCTTTGCAGGTCATGCAACAGATGTTGTCAAATGCATTCTCTGATGATGCCAATCCTGATGAAGAAGCAAAGGATGTGTCTGAGGAGGAGGATTATGAGGCAAGTAACCAACCGAACAGGGGAGAGGAAGGAAAAGAAGAAGAAATGATAATATCAGAAGACAGAGAGGAGCAAATGGAAAGAGAGGTAGAAGAGGACATATAGCATAAAGAAGAAGAAGAAGGAGAAGAAGAAGATGAAGGAGAAGAAGGGATAACAGAAGACAGAGAGGAGCAAATGGAAAGAGAGGTAGCAGAGGAAGGAGAGCATAAAGAAGAAGGAGAAGAAGAAGATGAGGAAGAAGATGAAGGAGAAGAAGGGGTAACAGAAGAAAGAGAGGAGCAAATGGAAAGAGAGGTAGAAGAGGAAGAAGAGCATAAAGAAGAAGAAGGAGAAGAAGAAGAAGATGAGGAAGAAGATGAAGGAGAAGGGGTAACAGAAGAAAGAGAGGAGCAAATGGAAAGAGAGGGGGAAGAAGAAGAAGAAGAACAGGGAGAAGAAAGGGTAATAGCAGGCGAGAGAGAGGAGCAAGCGAAAGAAGAAGGTTTGTTTTTTCTCTCAAAACATGACAAAATCATATGGTCCTCCGTAGCGTACGATAAACAAGAGCGGGGTAGAAAAGACAGGATCGGTGAGGCTACGCTGCCGCTGTCGTCCCCGCCGATGCCATTGCGCTGTTACCGCCGACAACCGGCCCACCCGGACCGACTGAATATTCTCTCGTCCACGCCCGCGACATCGCCTCCACGTTTTTCATGTTCATCACCCCGTCGATAGAACGCATCATCTTGGAGATGACTAATTTGGAGGGAAGACGGAAAATCGGAGACGGCTGGAAATGCATGGATGCCGTTGACCTTGGCGCCTACATAGGGCTGCTGCTTTTAGCCGTCTACAGGTCCTGAGGCGAGGCGACCGCCAGTCTGTGGGACGCTGAGAGCCAGACGCGCAGCCGACAAACTGGCGGCCGTAAGAGAGGTCTGGGACATGTGGTCTGAGCGGCTGCTGTCCCCCTACAACCCCAGGCCGGAGATAACGGTGGACGAACAGCTGGTTCCGTTTAGAGGGCATTGTCCCTTTCGGCAGTATATTCCCAGCAAGCCAGCAAAATACGGGATCAAGACATGGGTGGCGTGCGACTTTAAATCCAGTTACGCTTGGAAGATGCAAGTGTACACAGGGAAGGCCACGGCCACAGATGCAGCTGCAGCTGCGGGTGGTGGAGGAGGAGGAGGAGGAGGAGAAGACCCGGGCCCACGCGCAGCAGGCCACGGCCCGGAAAAGAACCTGGGCATGCGAGTCGTGCTCGATGTCACCGAGGGACTGAGGGATCGCAACCTCACCTGCGACAATTTCTTCACCTCTTACGAACTCGGGCAGCAGCTGCTGAAAAGGAAGATGACCATGTTCGGCACCGTTCGAAAAAACAAGCCTGAGCTCCCGCTCGCGCTGCTCTCACCGAAGTGAAGAGCGGTGTTCTCGTTGAAATTCGCCTTCACGTTGACCACTGCCGCGGTCTCTTACGTGCCCAAGAAAAACAAAAACGTGCTGCTGGTTAGCACGAAGCACACGGAGGCCGAAGTCAGCGATCGCCGCGACAGAATGCCGGTCATCATACTAGACTACAACCGCTGCAAAGGAGTTGTCGATAACCTCGACAAGGTGATTAGAACCTACAGCTGTAGAAGGATGACGGCTCGCTGGCCCTTGGTCGTGTTCCACAACATCCTCGACGTTTCCTCCTACAATGCCTTTGTGATATGGAGAGAACTAAACCCTGAATGGATGCCTCAGAAGCGGAACAAGAGAAGGGTGTTCCTAGAGCGGCTGGGAAAGGCGCTGGTGACTCCGTTGATAGAAAGAAGGGAGCGTCTCCCTCGCACAGAAGCGTCAGCGGCAGTCGTCCGAGGCGTTCGGAGGGCCGTGTCTAGATCTAGAACTCGCGGTGAGGGCGAGGACGCGGAAGTAACAGAACCCGCCGGAGCGGCGTCAGGAGCAGATGACCCGACCGGGGCGAGGAAGAGGAAGAGGTGTCAGTTTTGCCCGCGGGAAAAGGACAACAAAACTTCCACTGTGTGCAGCGGGTGTAAGAAATATATCTGCAAAAGTTGTTCGCTCCCATACTGCGCTGAGTGTGCTGCTGAGAATTTGGAGACAGATTGATTGACGACACACACACACACACACACACACTCTATCTATCTATCTATCTATCTAAAATTAAAATGACTATATTATTATTTTTTAATTAATTATTATTATTATTTATTTAATCATTATTATTATTATTATTATCATTATTATTATTATTATATGTGTGTGAGTCTAGCCTGCCTGTGCGTGTGTATGTATTTCCACATTGGGGGGGGGGGGGATGTGGGATGCAGTCAGTTGAACTGCATCAGAAGGGGAAATACTTATGACTTTCCAAAGATGAAAATGTCACAGGAACTGCTTAAAAGACATGAGAGCATAATGAACAGCGAGGACTCAGACATTGAGGTTGTTAGTGGCGACATGGGTAAAAAGCTACAGTTTAACCCCGTTAGAGTGGCAGTGGTATTACAGCTGTGCAGAAAACTTAAGGTAGACTGTAGACAGCAGTATAGCAAATTCACGGATGTTTGTGAATTAGGAGCTCCTTGTAAGAATGTGAAGATTAAAAGTGATGGGAATTGCTTCTTTAGGGCAGTCAGTGTAGCTGTGAGCGGTACTGAACACCATCACGGAAGAATAAGAGAAGCTGTAGTGAATCACTTGCAAAGCAATGAAGCTGCATACGCCAACATTCTGAGAAGGGGTTACCTTTCGGTGTAAGACTACACTGACACATCTAAAATCAGCTCTCTAGGAAGTTGGGCGACAGAGGTTGAGATTCAAGCAACAGCAGATTATTTGGGTGTCAACGTATTCACATATTACACTGACCGTTGGTTTCAGTAGAGTTGCAACAGTGTTTGGGTCTCTAAACAGGGGATTTATTTAGCGAATAGCAGCAGCCATTATGAGACCGTCATTTGTGTCACAAGTCCTCTGAAGCAGTCTTGTTATGGCTACTGCAAAGTAGCCATAGTTGCATCAGATACATCCAATTGTCTGACCTCAAATTCTGCCTATGCTGATTCTACATCTCAATCCGAGATTGCTTCTCCGTCACCGACATCGATTCATCCAGATGTAGTGGTATGAGGCACCATGGCCTCAAGCTCGGCTCTGTTTGCCTCTCAAGCTCTTAGCCAATCATAGTGCAGACAGAGGGTATAAAAGTAGGCTGCGTTCCTCTCCCTGACCTCTCGCTTCCTGCCTCTTCGGCCCGCCCACTTCCGGGTCGTCGCTCATACTGCTCACCTCGGAGCACAGGTAGGCTCACATTGGCATGTGATTTGTGCACCCTCGTCTGGGTTTTATTTAATCTAAATCGTCGTTGATTGCTAGATCTGGCATTTGGCGTCTGGGGACGAGACTGTCGGGCGCGTTAACCGCTGTCATCCAAGCCTAGGTGAGTCATGGCGAGCTACCTTTTGTTTGTTGTTGTTAGCCAGGTGCTAAGCCCCTTTCCGCTCCTTCCCTCATAGTTGTCGGTCTCCTCGTGCAGCGCGTGGCTGTCTCCGCCTGCTGTGCAGGCTTTCTTCACCCCTCTCCCTCTTGGACGGGACTAAAACTCCCGGCGGATGAACCGGACCTTGCAGACCCTGAAAGCTAAGTACGATTATGGCTGGTTAGCCCCGGCTACCTGGATACTGCCGCTGTGCTGCTGCTGTTGCATCGCTGCCGCTTTTCTGCCATTATTAAACGCCTCCGCTGTTTGCCGGCCTGCTTCGGGGTGCGATCGGCTGCCTCGCGCCGACTCCTCTTTATTGACTTCGTCCCCTAGCAGCCGTGCGGGGTGCAGAGCGAGTGTGTTACCCGGGTGGACGTGGCTGCGAGTCCCCGGTCCGGACTGTGTGTGAGGATGTGTGTTTGACTTTTTAAAGGCACTCTGTGAAGGTCGCTCATTCATTTCGTTTTGTTCTTTTTGGGTAATTTCTCGGTTTGGTTGCTTTGTTTATTTGTTTTGTTTAAGTGATTTGTTTATTTTTGGAAATGTACTTATTATACTTAAATGGGTAATGTTTTAGTTTGAGTTCCTTTTTGTTAGTGGTTTAAATGAATTAATTTTTGGTTTTCTGAGTTTATCTCTGGCCAGAGAGTCGTAATTTGTTTCCTTTGGTTGATTTCTGATTCATTTTGAACATTATTACCCAGTTAAATTGATTAGTTATTGATTTGGTTATGTTTTGGTGTGTTTTCTTCATGAGTCCCTTGCCCTAATTGTGTTTCTTTTCCCCCTACAGAGCTGACGGCCAACGGTGGTGGTGGTGGTCCTCCAAGGTGGTGGTGATCCCTGAGTGTGTGCGTTTTATTTGACTCCCCGTTTGAAGATTTATTTGTGTGCACCTTATGTTTGCTGTGAGTGGGATGTTCTCTTTTCTTTGGACGTCACCAGTTTTGACCCCTCCTCTAGCCCGTATGCCTCAGCCTGTATCCCCGTTTCAGTTGGGCTCCGTTATTGTCATAATTGCATCTTAGCAATTATGTCGACCTTTTATTAATAAATTTTGTACGTTGATTATTGACTCTCGTCTCCTGCCTCCCTGGTTGAACGAACCTGAGTGCCTCAGATATCTAGGTAATTGACCTTTAGATACGGGTCCTTGGGCCCTCTCCCAAGGTGGCGTTGTTGGACAACAAAGTTCGGGTGGTACCCAAACTGGTAATATATAGCTCGTGCCGCCACAAACCTGGCGTTGTCGGCAGGATCAACTCAGTGGAGGTGGAGACGTGCGTCCTATGTTTAATCATTTTAGTTTTTTTGGTTTTCAGATTGCCAAGTGTGTGTGTGAGTGTGAATGTGAATGAACGGCAGCTTCAGGCGAGCCAGCAGAGACGGTGTTTATTTTTTTTGTAGCGTTAACATTTACAGCTTAGTGTAGCTTTCAGAAATGGAGGGAGAGTTGCAAGAGTTGAGAGACTTGGTGGCACAGCTGCGGGCAGAGAATGACAGGTTACAGCAGGAGCAGGCTGCACCCGTGCCTGGTCCTAGTGCTGCACCACCCATTCCTGCTGAACCTCGTCCAGCACCATCCTCTTCCGTCGCTCCTGTAACAGAGCGACTGGTCCTCGTGCCCAGAGACAGGAAGTGTCCTGTGTTTAGGGGTAGGTCAGGTATAGGACTAGAGGAGTGGATCAAGGAAACTCAGGCCTGCATTAGATCCTGTCACCTGTCCAACGCTGATCAAGCATTTTTTCTTTTTGACCATCTAGAGGGAGAGGCGCGTGAAGAAATAAAATATCGTCCGGCCACAGATCGTAGTGATCCAGCTAAAATCCTTGCGGTCTTGCGAGAACTATATGGCTGTGCTGATTCGTATGTTGCTCTACAAGAGGCGTTCTTCTCGAGGCGACAGAAGGAAGGGGAGACTCTTCACGAGTTTTCCCTCGCCCTGATGAGCTTGATGTCAGCGGTGAAACAAAGTGCTCCAAGCGAGATGCCAAATGCAGATGTTTTGTTGCGTGATCAATTTATTGAAAACGTTGTTGACGGTTCCCTTCGCCGAGAGTTAAAGCAACTCACACGCAGGCAGCCTACCATCTCCCTGTTAGATGCTAGGGCAGAGGCCATTAGGTGGGAGCGAGAGGGATTGCCAGGGGGTGTGCGGGGCCAAAGCCAGTCTGTTCCTTCGTTGATGGGCTTGCAGTACGGTGTTCAGACTGCTCCTTTTGTGGCTAGTCCACCCCAGGCTTCAGAGTTGCAGGAGGTGAAACATATGCTGAGGCTCCAACAGGAACAGCTTAGCCGTCTCACCGAAAGTCTCGCTCAGCTGCAGACCAATCAGCAGCGTAACAATTCTTCTCACCGTGGTCCGGTGATTTGCCGGCGGTGTCATCAGCCTGGCCATTTTGCCAGGGAATGCAGAGGGGAGCGTGCGCCTCCTCCACCTTCAGGGTCTGCTTCCTTCCGGCCAGCCTCTCAGCAGGACCCGGCTCAGCGTTCGGAAAACTAGCGCCCGTCGAACTGCGGAGCCAAAGTTCGGGGGGAGCTGCCACCGGCTCACCAGAAGAGATGGTAATGGATGGGGAAGAGACTAAGTTGATCAGCGCTTGTCCACATATGGATGTGGTTATGGGGGGTGTAACCGTGCCTTGCCTCGTAGACACCGGGTCCATGGTGTCCACTATTAGAGAGAGCTTTTTTCGGCAACACTTTGAAATTTGGGGCCAAGAAAAACTTAAGTCCTGCCATTGGCTCCAGCTTCAAGCGGCCAATGGGTTACCCATCCCATATCTTGGCTACTTAGAGCTGGAAGTCGAGCTCTGTGGTCGGACTTTGCCAGGGTGTGGGCTGCTGGTCGTCAAGGACCCTCCAACTGCTGCGTCTCCTCCTGCGCAGTGTCTTGGGGATGAACATCCTGAAAAGGTGTTACAGCACCCTATTTGGGCAACATGGTGCTGCCCTTTTCAACTTGCCCACCGTCGCTGAAGCACCAAAGCCTGTGGTGCAGGCATTGCAGAGATGCCATCAAGCTTCTCTGACTTCCCCTTCTGCCATTAGTGGCAAGGTCAAGCTGCGAGGAAAGAAAGCGTGTCGTATCGCCGGTGGCACTATGCAGCTGGTTCCAGCCACCTGTTCTGCCCAGTACTCGGGGAGAACTGTGCTGTTCGAGCCCTCAGATCAGGGCCTTCCTGCTGGCCTGCTGGCATCCCCAGCACTGGTTCAAGTGGAGGGAGGTACTGTGTACATACCTGTGGTCAACGTGGGTACTTCTGATGTGTTGCTTTACCCCCGAACAACGGTTGGTGCTTTGTGTGAGGTCTCCGTGGTGAGCCTACCTTCTGGGGTTAAGGAGGTTCCATCCTACATGGCTACGGTGGCATCTCAGGCTGTGGTTTCTACGCTGCAAAATCAAATCGATGCAGTTGATCTGTCTGCTTTGTCACTTGAAGAGCAGCAGGAAGCCCGACTTCTGCTTTGGAAATATGCATCTGTCTTCTCCTCTCATGACGGTGACTTAGGCTGCACTGACCTGATTACACATGAAATCCCTCTTCTTGACGACACTCCCATCCGTCAGCGCTACCGGCGTATCCCGCCATCGGAATACGAAACGGTGAAAGAACACATCAATCAGTTGCTTGGTGCGCAGGTCATCCGAGAAAGCTGCAGCCCTTTTGCGTCCCCAATTGTGTTGATTAAAAAGAAAGATGGAAGTCTGCGCTTGTGCGTCGACTACCGACAGCTGAACAGCCGGACGAGAAAGGACGCGTTCCCTCTCCCACGGATTGAGGAATCGCTGGATGCACTCACTGGAGCCCGCTGGTTTTCCACTATGGATTTAGCCAGCGGCTACAATCAGGTCCTGGTGGCCGAGGCCGACCGACCCAAGACTGCTTTTTGTACTCCGTTCGGACTTTTCGAATGGAATCGTATGCCGTTCGGGTTGTGCAACGCACCTAGCACCTTCCAGCGACTCATGCAAAGGATTTTCGGAGACCAGCAATGTCAGTCGTTGCTCTTGTATCTTGATGACATTGTGGTCTTTTCCTCCACAGTTCAACAACATCTTCAGAGATTGGAAGTGGTGCTGCAGCGGCTACAACATGAAGGTCTGAAAGCGAAGTTGTCAAAGTGCTCATTCTTCCAACAGCAAGTGCTGTACTTGGGCCACATCATTTCAGCTGAAGGAGTTTCCACCGACCCAAGTAAGGTCGAAGTGGTAGCCAATTGGCAGCCTCCCACCACCATCTTGCAGCTGCGGTCATTCCTTGGGTTCGCAAGCTACTACCGGCGTTTCGTGGAGGGCTTTGCCAAGTTGGCTGCCCCTTTACATCGCCTTGTCGGGGAACTCGGAGCGTCGAAGCCCCGACGGTCTGGACAGCAAGTGGCGGAAAAGTGGACGGGTGAACATCAGCGGAACTTTGAAGCTTTAAAATCTAAGCTTACTACGGCACCTGTGTTGGCCTACGCTGACTTTTCCCTTCCTTTCATTTTGGAAGTGGATGCGAGCCATGGGGGCCTTGGTGCTGTGCTCTCGCAGGAGCAGGGAGGGAAGGTCCGGCCTATCGCATTTGCTAGCCGAAGTCTGAGGCCCACCGAACGTAACCCCGCCAATTACAGCTCCATGAAGCTGGAGTTTTTGGCACTAAAGTGGGCTATGGCTGACAAATTCCGGGAGTACTTGCTTGGTCACAAATGCATTGTCATCACAGACAATAATCCACTTAGCCACCTGTCATCGGCTAAACTTGGTGCTCTTGAACAGCGTTAGGTAGCCCAACTCGCGTCATTCGACTTTGAAATTCGTTACCGCTCTGGTAAGAGTAACATCAATGCAGATGCTCTGTCCCGCTTGCATTCACCTCAACCGGTAGATCTTGGCACGATCATCTCTGGTACGCAGCTCCCCCAGCCCTTGAAGCAAGCTCTCCAACCAAAAAGGCCTGCAGCCTGTCAGGCTGCTGTCCATGCTTTGCCTCAACATCTGCCTGCGGACATTGGAGACCTGCAGAGGGCTGATCCTGTGATCCAGGAAGTCCTTTCGTTCTGGCAGCAGAAACGTTATCCAAATCAAGCGGAACGTAGACGGCTGTCCCCCACAGCTCTGGTGCTCCTTAAGCAGTGGGGGCGATTGAGTGAGCAGGCTGGAGTTGTGTACCGGCAAGTCTCGCGTGCAGACGGAGGAGAAGTGGCTCTCCAGGTGCTGCTGCCCGAGGTGCTGAAGGAAAAAGTCCTTACCGAGCTGCACCAAAATCATGGCCACCAGGGGGTGGGCAGGACTCTGGATTTGCTTAGGCAGCGGTGCTATTGGTCGGGCATGTCAGCAGATGTGCGGCGCTGGTGTCAAAGTTGTGAGCGATGCCAAGTGGCTAAGGACCCTGGACCCCCAGTCCGTAGCTTTATGGGACATCTGCTTGCTTCGGAACCTAACGAGATCCTGGCGATGGATTTCACTGTCCTCGAACCAACCCATAACGGGCTGGAGAATGTCCTTGTGCTGACGGATGTCTTTAGTAAATACACTCTTGCTATTCCCACCCGTGACCAGCGTGCCTCTACAGTGGCACAGGTGCTTGTCACAGAGTGGTTTTCCAAGTTTGGCGTTCCAGCACGCATTCATTCCGATCAGGGTCGCAATTTCGAAAGTGTACTCATCCAGCAGCTGTGTGGTTTGTACAACATTGAAAAATCTCGCACCACACCATACCACCCTGCAGGTAATGGTCAGTGCAAGCGTTTCAATCGCACCCTCCATGATTTGTTGCGCACTTTGCCTCCCTCTCGCAAATGTGAATGGCACTCTTGCATCCCTCAGGTATTATATGCCTATAATACCACACCGCATCAGTCCACCGGGGAGTCGCCATTCTTTCTCATGTTTGGTCGTGAGGCAAGGCTCCCGGTTGATTTCTTGCTGGGAAGGGTGCAGGACCCTGTTGATAGGACTGTAAGCGACTGGGTTTGGGAACATCAAACCCGGCTGCACTTGGCTTTCGAGGGCGTTCGGGACAGGTTGAGGGAGGTAGCCCAACGTCGAAAGGAAAATCATGACCAATCTGTCCGGTCAGCACCACTCGCTGTAGGCCAGTTAGTTCGGCGAAAGGAGTTCGGCTGGAAGGGCCGCCACAAGATCCAGGACAGGTGGAATCCGGTGGTGTATCAGGTGATTAAAGCTCCCCCCGGCAATGGCGCGGTGTATACAATTGCACCCGAGGACGACCTGGCTAATGTCAAGCAGGTCCATCGAACATTGCTCAAAGCTGTAGTCGGGAGGGCTGCCTCTGGCGACAACCTAATTCCGTTTCCTGTCTCCCTAGACCGGCGTGCAAGGTCTCCGAGCTCATCTGATGATGAGGACTTGATGGAGGTGGTGAGGGACCCCATCCGCCTTACAGCTGGTCCTGCGACTGGAGTTCAACCGGCCCCTCCCTCAGTGGTACCGGTTATTCCGACCGTCCTGTTGCCCTCGGCTCTTTTGGCCTCTTTGCCTGCCCCCTCTTTTGGGAGTAGTGACACGGCTGTGCTACGTATGGCACCATTACCCTCTGTACCTCCGGCCCCTTTGCCCGTGCAGCCACCTTCTGCCAGCGCTGCTCCCTTACCGGTCCCTCCTTCAGGGAGTGATGGAGTTGTCAGACGAAGGACAGTCCGATCTACAGCTGGCCACCATTCCAATCTTCATCATCTACCTAGGCCGGTGAACGAGGCCGCCCAGGCTGGGCCTCCGGCCGTGCAGTTAAACTCTGTGTCTGCTTTCTTTAGACCGTGGTCTTAGGGTGAGATTCTTCAAAAGCATCGTCGGGCCGACGATGAAAATCGGGGGGGGTGGATTGTAGTGGTATGAGGCACCATGGCCTCAAGCTCGGCTCTGTTTGCCTCTCAAGCTCTTAGCCAATCATAGTGCAGACAGAGGGTATAAAAGTAGGCTGCGTTCCTCTCCCTGACCTCTCGCTTCCTGCCTCTTCGGCCCGCCCACTTCCGGGTCGTCGCTCATACTGCTCACCTCGGAGCACAGGTAGGCTCACATTGGCATGTGATTTGTGCACCCTCGTCTGGGTTTTATTTAATCTAAATCGTCGTTGATTGCTAGATCTGGCATTTGGCGTCTGGGGACGAGACTGTCGGGCACGTTAACCGCTGTCATCCAAGCCTAGGTGAGTCATGGCGAGCTACCTTTTGTTTGTTGTTGTTAGCCAGGTGCTAAGCCCCTTTCCGCTCCTTCCCTCATAGTTGTCGGTCTCCTCGTGCAGCGCGTGGCTGTCTCCGCCTGCTGTGCAGGCTTTCTTCACCCCTCTCCCTCTTGGACGGGACTAAAACTCCCGGCGGATGAACCGGACCTTGCAGACCCTGAAAGCTAAGTACGATTATGGCTGGTTAGCCCCGGCTACCTGGATACTGCCGCTGTGCTGCTGCTGTTGCATCGCTGCCGCTTTTCTGCCATTATTAAACGCCTCCGCTGTTTGCCGGCCTGCTTCGGGGTGCGATCGGCTGCCTCGCGCCGACTCCTCTTTATTGACTTTGTCCCCTAGCAGCCGTGCGGGGTGCAGAGCGAGTGTGTTACCCGGGTGGACGTGGCTGCGAGTCCCCGGTCCGGACTGTGTGTGAGGATGTGTGTTTGACTTTTTAAAGGCACTCTGTGAAGGTCGCTCATTCATTTCGTTTTGTTCTTTTTGGGTAATTTCTCGGTTTGGTTGCTTTGTTTATTTGTTTTGTTTAAGTGATTTGTTTATTTTTGGAAATGTACTTATTATACTTTAATGGGTAATGTTTTAGTTTGAGTTCCTTTTTGTTAGTGGTTTAAATGAATTAATTTTTGGTTTTCTGAGTTTATCTCTGGCCAGAGAGTCGTAATTTGTTTCCTTTGGTTGATTTCTGATTCATTTTGAACATTATTACCCAGTTAAATTGATTAGTTATTGATTTGGTTATGTTTTGGTGTGTTTTCTTCATGAGTCCCTTGCCCTAATTGTGTTTCTTTTCCCCCTACAGAGCTGACGGCCAACGGTGGTGGTGGTGGTCCTCCAAGGTGGTGGTGATCCCTGAGTGTGTGCGTTTTATTTGACTCCCCGTTTGAAGATTTATTTGTGTGCACCTTATGTTTGCTGTGAGTGGGATGTTCTCTTTTCTTTGGACGTCACCAGTTTTGACCCCTCCTCTAGCCCGTACGCCTCAGCCTGTATCCCCGTTTCAGTTGGGCTCCGTTATTGTCATAATTGCATCTTATTAATTATGTCGACCTTTTATTAATAAATTTTGTACGTTGATTATTGACTCTCGTCTCCTGCCTCCCTGGTTGAACGAACCTGAGTGCCTCAGATATCTAGGTAATTGACCTTTAGATACGGGTCCTTGGGCCCTCTCCCAAGGTGGCGTTGTTGGACAACAAAGTTCGGGTGGTACCCAAACTGGTAATATATAGCTCGTGCCGCCACACAGATAACACAGTGTCTGTGAATGACGACGACTACTGCGAAAAGGAGAGCGATGAGCGCGAGGAGGGGTCCCACCGCTCTGATGAGCATCAAACTGCAAGGGACTTGACGGGCATGAGTGACCACGATGTTGATTTTTACCGAGATAATAACAGTCCTCAGAGCCGCTATGAGTATGACGATTACCACAGTGACACTGCAGAGCTAGATGTTGAAGGACACTTCAGTGAAGATGAGGCCTGGGAGAATAATCCTGATGAAGAGTATGACCACTATGGCTTGCTATCAAGGAGACGTAGAAAATTATATCGTTGAAAATATGGAGCATTGTCCCTATGGCGATAGCCTTGTAACTCCAGGTGACATGGAGGATACCAGTGAAGCTGATTTACCACATAACAGCTTTGTGGATCAGCATGAACTTTTCAACCACTCTGATGAGCATCAAACTCCGAGGGACTTGAAGGGCACGAGTGACCACGATGCCGACTTTTACCAAGATTCTAACAGTCCTTGGAGCCGCTGTGAGTATGACGATTACCACAGTGACACTGCAGAGCTAGAAGTTGAAGGACACTTCAGTGAAGATGAGGCCTGGAGGAATACTCCCGACGAAGAGTATGATCATCGTGGCCTGCTATCAGAAAGACACGTAGAAGGTGACATTGTTGAAGACGAGAAGTATTATCCCTACAGTGATAGCCTCGGAACTCCAGGTGACACGGAAGATACCAGTGAAGCTGATTTACCACATAACAGCTTTATGGATCAGTCCGAACTTTTAAATGATGAGATCTGTATCATACTGTGGGATTGCGATAAAGAAGTTGAAGAGGAGTTTGGCTCAAATAACCGCTACGCATCTACCTGCCGCTGGACCGAATTGCAGGAATCGTGGAAATCGTTTGTCAGTTGGCTGGGTGAGCGCTGGTGGGGCTCGGTGTCAGAAGAGTCTGTCAGGACCTTCATGGATACATCTGAGAGACGTCGCATCGGGGATATCGTCGTCTCAGCGTGCTTCGGTGACACGCCCGGGGGAGTTTGTTCTTTCACAGTGAAGACTGAAAGTGGCCTGCTGTCATTTCCTTTGCTTATCCTTCAAAGATGCTACATATGTGCTGACTTGGTGGAAGGTGATTTTTCATGTCCGATCGACATGTTGAGAAAGCTGGCCCGTGAAACCTACACACACTTGCTCCCCCGACCCACAACAATACCTTCCAATCCCCAGTACTTTTCTCTTACACGGGTAGTGGATGATATATGCAGCGTTTTAGATTTGCTGAAAAGTGGATGGTGTGACGTTTCCCAACCCCATCACATAATAGAGTATCTGCAAAACAAGGAAGGACCCTCTGTTAACCCAGCAGCATTAATTTGCTGTGTAGATGATGACAGTCTGGGATACCTGTTTGAGATTATAGACGCCAAGGGGAAGAGGCTGAAAGTAACATTTAATAAATTGGGCTTCACATTTGGATCGGGTCTACATTTCTCAGGACTCACAAGTCTGCTGTCACATATCTGTGAGGTTGATGGAGTAAACTTCGTGATTGACTGTAGATTCTTGCTCACTGCAAGCGAACTGGAGCGTCCGATGTAAGACATGTGGGGGGGTGTAAAGCAGTGGCGATTGCTCTAAGACTGCAAGGGAAGCTCTGCTTCCCTTAAAATGTCACCCCCCAAAAAAAGAAAAAGTGGTGAAATACGTACTGCTGTGTGTACATTTCATTAACTAAATACGCGCTAGAAAGCCTTCATCTTTTGTTCAGAATCAGCTGATTCTGCACAACTTCGTTCTCATTCATCCTCGCAGCGCTTCAGCGCTTTAAACAGCCGGACGCTGGGCTTCTGCCGACTTCAATGTGGAAGCTCAAAGTGGGTTGTTCCAGCAGCGAAACTAGATGCTCATTGGATAAATGCTGGGCTTTGTCCCGCCCATCGGACGCTGAGCTTCTCTAGAGTTCTATGGCGAGAGGGCGGTCCCGACTTTCTCCCGGACTCCGAGCTTCTGCATCCATGATTGGATGAGCTGTCTGAGGCGAAATCCTTTTTTGATTGACAGCTAAACAAGCGAATCAGCGATCTTGAAGAATAAAACATCTATCAGAGCATTTTCCAAGTTATTCATTCCGTTGTTCTTAACTGCTCCGGAGACTTTACCGATCCTCAGCGACTTTTGTCAACGACTGCCGTTGTGTTTGGCGATTCTGTTCTGTTACATACAAATAAACAAACACAATTATGATGTAGGCCAGAAAAATGAGCTTCCCCTCCTTGAAAGACCAGCAGCCGCCACTGGTGTAAAGAGTTTGTGAACTTGTTTTTTTCCTTCAAGTGTTTGTATGAGCATGCTTCTATAGAAAGATTTAGGAAGAACTGCCGCTGAAATGTGCCTAAAATGCATTATTATTATTATTATTATTATTATTATTATTATTATTATTATTATTAAAATGTGAATTCGTGCTGTAGCTTATTCTTGCTTACATATTCTTGCTTACTCAATAAAGATGCGAAAACTTGCAATTTTGCTTCAGATGATAACTTTATTTGTGTACATCACACCATAGATTACAACACAACATTGTTTTATGGCTGAAAGTCATAATAGTAGCTGTACCAATCCTCAAAGGACATCTCGTCATTCATCATAATTTTTTTTATTTTTTATACTGTGTGAGGACTACAGGACCTTTCACTGGGTCAAAAAGACCCTAGTCATCACTGGGTCAAAAAGACTCCAGTCAGTGTGACCCCTGAGACGTGGGATGCAGTTTTTTTTTTTTTTTACTGTGTGAGGACTACAGGACCTTTCACTGGGTCAAAAAGACCCCGGTCATCACTGCGCCAAAAAGACCCCAGTCAGTGTGACCCCTGAGACGTGGGATGCAGGTTTATTTTTTTATTTTTTTTACTGTGTGAGGACTACAGGACCTTTCACTGGGTCAAAAAGACCCCAGTCAATGTGGACTGGGACAGTGTGACCCTTGAGACATGGGATGTAGGTCCTAACTTGAGGACAACAGGAGGGTTAAAAATAACATCACAGCTCCAGATGGTGCCTCACATCAAGAGCTTTTCACCTTGTTTATGGAAAATATCCACATAGAGCCTCCACTTGCAATTCTCTCTTCCTCCTCTGTCTACAGAAACGCCACCATCAAAAGAAACACTGCTCCCGCAGCGTCTTGGCAGTTCGAGCTTCAGCCGCTGCGTTATCACTGCTGCCAGCAGTGCGTGAGGGCCAACCCTGGCCACCAGACCCACAGACCTGGACAACAATCCCATCCTGAAAGCACTATCCAGCATCCAGCCACTGCTCACCCATATGTCTTCAAGGATCGAAGCCTCAGAATCTGGTTCGGCACATGCTAGGCTGTCTTCCGCTAGTGCAGTCCCCGTCTCCACCGGTGTCCCATTCTTCCCTCCCACGGCTGCAATTACACCTAATCTGTGGAGCCAAATCCTCGCAGGTACTGATGTCAATCTTGTAAAAATCTTGCTGTGCTCTGACAATAGATGCATTTTGGATTGCAGAGACGTGTCTGTGATGCTTAAAGATCCTGATCCCCGGCTGTTTAAATCTCTGACCTTGGCTGAATTCATGTAGCTTTCGGCGTATTTGGAGATGTCATATGTGAAGTGTTTTCAGCTCGCAGAACTGGACTCATATCTCGCCATCATTTCTGATTTAGCCATGACTTATGGAGGAACATTATTCTAGGAATATCACAAATCGTTTTCAGCAAAGCTGCTATGTACATTCAAAGATTCAACCAAAGACTTGATTAGTCCGTCGTCGACCTGGCTCTGATCAGTAGACATTTCACTGGGCATTAAGCTTTTTCCTGCTCAACCTGCAGGTCTTTAATAATCAGTGGTTTGCTGATGTTTGTCCGAATAAACTGTCTTCTCTGCCAAAAATGTGTCTTCAAGTGCTCTCCTCAAATTCTATCAAATCATCAAACCTTGCCTCCTATGGGGTAAACAATAGTCCAGTAAACAGATTTTTCTTTTTGTGACAATGAGGCAACCATTAATATCAATAACAAAGGGCACCCTTCAGCTCCATTTATTAATGAGGTTTATGAGGTGCCTTACCAGTCTTGGTAAATTTCATAATTTCTGCAGTCCATATTCCAGGCTGGGATAACCAAATTGCTGATTCCTGTCCCAATTCAAACTTTAAAAAATTCCACCAGCTGTGCCCAGAGGCAGCTCCATCCAGCCTGACCTTTCCCCTATTCATTCAGTATGTGTTAGTCTGAGTGCAGTCTTGCAAACTTATGTGCTCTCTGCTGCCCTCTACACGAGAGCTAGTTTAGCAAAATCAGCATTAAAGTTAATATGATTCTACAGGGTCTCCCTTTACCTCTTTTGTACCACCTTTTCTGTGGCTCCAATGCAGCAAATATATCCATTGTATGTGCATTAATAACCCACTGTTTTGAATCTCGCAAATATTAAAGGACTTGTAGCAGGTATTCAGTTCCATCTGGGCTGTCTGAACCCATCCACCACTAGCTTGCTTGAAAACCCATCTATTTGTCTCCTGCTTAATGGCCCAAAGAGGGAAAGGCCTCAAGTCAAAGATAAATGTCTCCCCTTTACTCTCCTGCTTCTAAAAAACCTAATCACTTTTTCAAGAGGTGGTTGCTTTGGTCCTTATACTAATTGGCTTTAGAAAAGTGTTCCTTATAGGTTTCTCAGAGGAAGTGAATTCACTACACGCACTAATTCTTTCGATCCTACACATGACCTCACCTTTGCTGACATAGAAATTAAGCCTTGCCATTTCACTCTATTTCTAAGCACTCTAAAACTAATAAAAAGAATGGAACCCACCTTTTATTTCTCAAACTAACTCTGACTTTGTCCTTTGTCCTCCATGTCCCACTATCTGTGAGGCTGGCCAGCCAACATGAGCCTCTCTTAACCACTGAAAAAGGGAAACCTTTATCCAGATCATGGTTTTCTGCTCGCCTATGCCTGCTCTGCCAATCCTGCTGGCTCCCACTGAACGCTACTCTATGCATAGATGCAGCTACAACTGCATCCTCCATTGTCCCTGTCTCGATGCTCAAGGCTATGGGTCGATGGTCCTCATCAGCCTATGAATGATACCTCAGGCCTGAGTCTCAAGAAATTGTTTTGCTCAATTAGCTATGAGTGCTTTACAAAATGCTGCTGCACCATAATTCTGTCCCATATCTATTGTTTTCTTCAGCATATTCCCAATTATAAATATGTGTATGGATGAAATTAATCCTGTTCCAAGATCATGTTTTGAGGGTAACCTATACTACACAAGCTTTGGAGGTGGGTAGGTTACTTCATAGTTTCTTGCTGCTGGCTGCTGCTCTCCTTCCCCTGTGCTTTCATATAGCTCATGAAAGCTGGGAGGGTCGCCTGGTATGGTCATTTTGGGGGATTTTTGCTGCTGCTTTCTCTGCCTTGGCTTTTCAAGGATGCACATGAAAGGGAAGGGAGGAGCTGTCTCCACTTATAGCCATGGCATTCCATGCAAGTGCATGGAAGGGCAGGGAACTATCAGAACAGAGCCATACCGCCAATGTTTGCTTGTAACAGAAAATTTATTTTGACTAAAGTGGTCCTGACTGAAATGAAGCATAGCGGTAGTTCAGTCAGGACACAGAGTCAGGCTAGAGGCTACAGTCAGCTGATCTTAAGCCAGCCCTCAGTCAGCTGACAGCTCAGGTGATCACCCTCTTCACATCCTGCCGGCTAATGTCAAAATGGCACCCTATTTAAACTGCTTCTCCTGCCTACTCTGCCTGCTGCAACCCCAGCTCCACCTGTTTATGTTGTGTCTGATTTTACCAGTATCATATGTATTTGTCACTGATGCTTGCTCTGTTCTGTGGGGGGATTTTAATGTATTTATCTTAATCATATGTATTTGCTGCTGCTTTTTCTGCCTTGGCTTTTCGGGTATGCACATGAAAGGCAGGGGAGGAGCTCTCCCCTCTTATAGCCATCGCATTCCATGCAAGCACATGGAAGGCCAGGGAATCCTCAGAACAGAGCCATACCGCCGATGTAAAAATGTTTGCTTGTAATAAATAATTTTTTTGACTAAATTGGTCCTGACTGAGATAATGTTAAAGCTCCCTGTTGTTTATGACGGGTACATCAACTCTAATTAGAGCATAAGTGTCTGATCAGTAACAATTAATGTTGTGATCATGCTTTAATCATCGCTTACTCATGTTAATATTGTATTTAAATATATATTTAGTTTTATATATATATATATATATATATATATATATATACATATATACAGTACAGGCCAAAAGTTTGGACACACCTTCTCATTCAATGTCTTTTCTTTATTTTTTTATATGAATATTTACGTTGTAGATTATCACTGAAGGCATCAAAACTATGAATGAACAAATGTAGAATTTTGTACTTATAAAAAAAGTGTGAAATAACCGAAAACATGTTTTATATTCTAGTTTCTTTAAAATAGCCATCCTTTGGTCTTGATGACAGAAGTACCTTGTCAGGGTTACTTCAGGCACTCCTGTGAAGTAAAAACCATTTCAGGTGACTACCTCATGAAGCTCATTGAGAGAACAGCTAAAGTTTGCAGCGCTATCAAAAAAGCAAAGGGTGGCTACTTTGTGAAAATCTAAAATCTAAAACATGTTTTCAGTTATTTCACACTTTTTTCTTAAGCACATGATTCCACATGTGTTCATTCTTAGTTTTGAGAATCTACAATTTAAATAGTAATGAAAACAAAGAAAATGCATTGAATGAGAAGGTGTGTCCAAACTTTTGGCCTGTACTGTATATATATACTCACCGGCCACTTTATTAGGTATACCTGTCCAACTGCTCGTTAACACTTAATTTCTAATCAGCCAATCACATGGCGGCAACTGTAGACATGGTCAAGACAATCTCTTGCAGTTCAAACCGAGCATCAGTATGGGGAAGAAAGGTGATTTGAGTGACTTTGAACGTGGCATGGTTGTTGGTGCCAGAAGGGCTGGTCTGAGTATTTCAGGAACTGCTGATCTACTGGGATTTTCACGCACAACCATCTCTAGGGTTTACAGAGAATGGTCCGAAAAAGAAAAAATATCCAGTGAGCGGCAGTTCTGTGGGCGGAAATGCCTTGTTGATGCCAGAGGTCAGAGGAGAATGGCCAGACTGGTTCGAGCTGATAGAAAGGCAACAGTGACTCAAATAACCACCCGTTACACCCAAGGTAGGCAGAAGAGCATCTCTGAACGCACAGTACGTCGAACTTTGAGGCAGATGGGCTACAGCAGCAGAAGACCACACTGGGTGCCACTCCTTTCAGCTAAGAACAGGAAACTGAGGCTACAATTTGCACAAGCTCATCGAAATTGGACAATAGAAGATTGGAAAAACGTTGCCTGGTCTGATGAGTCTCCATTTCTGCTGCGACATTCGGATGGTAGGGTCAGAATTTGGCGTCAACAACATGAAAGCATGGATCCATCCTGCCTTGTATCAACGGTTCAGGCTGGTGGTGGTGGTGTCATGGTGTGGGGAATATTTTCTTGGCACTCTTTGGGCCCCTTGGTACCAATTGAGCATCGTTGCAACGCCACAGCCTACCTGAGTATTGTTGCTGACCATGTCCATCCCTTTATGACCACAATGTACCCAACTTCTGATGGCTACTTTCAGCAGGATAATGCGCCATGTCATAAAGCTGGAATCATCTCAGACTGGTTTCTTGAACATGACAATGAGTTCACTGTACTCAAATGGCCTCCACAGTCACCAGATCTCAATCCAATAGAGCATCTTTGGGATGTGGTGGAACGGGAGATTCGCATCATGGATGTGCAGCCGACAAATCTGCG